AAGTCAATAACCTGAGTTATACTAGGCTAATTGACTTGATTCTTGATCTTATGAACTCTTTTTTTACACAAGAAACAGCCATATAAAGCATAGTTTCCCAAGTTTTTCATATCATAGCCAAAAATGCAAGCAAACAACACATAAGAAACACTCATGTGAGCTGGGACAACTTTAACTTTTTGCATGCTTATAACTACTTAAAAACTGAACATGTATGGCACACATATATATATATATATAATTCTACTCTTTATCTCATCTATATTATAATTCTAGAAAGATTTGAGCACACCAACCTCTTAATCTTCAAGAAAAGGAAAAAGAAGTCGGGTATACTCGAATGTTGTCTTCCTCTTCTTGCTCTCGACTTTGAGCTTAATCTCTTCGACTTTTCTTGAACTTGAAGCCTCAAGACACTTCTATTGGGAGTTTAGAATGAATTAAAAGTGATATTATGTTGGTGGTATTGAGATTTTATCACTAGAACTCCAAATTTCTCTCAAACATGCACTCGGGATTTTGAGAACTTCCCTCTTGGCTTTTGTAGTTTGCTCTCGGTTCTCTCTATTTTGGAGGAGTTATGCTCGAATTCTCTCCACCACTTTTCTAAGAACTCTCTCAGTATTAAATGAGGAGTCAAAGGAGCTATGGTGAGGCTTTAAAGAGATTAGTTTGGCGTGAGAAAATATGTGGAAGAGTGGAAACAAATGTGTGACAAAAACTTGTGGTGTCATTTCCTATGCATGAGTGGGAATCTTGTTCATATTTTGGCATGATTTTGAGTGCATGAGGAGCACTGAGGGCTGACAACATATCCTGGCCAAGCACTCAAGGCAAAAAGGGGAACATGGTCTTAAATGAAGAATAAACAATTCATGCCCATGCTTGATTTGGAGTTTAAGAAGTTAATGAGTGTTTGACTTCTCTAATGAATCTTAAAGCTTAACTAGGCATATTAAATCCTTAATCCTCAGCCTAAACTCACTCCTAAAACCAAGGTTTGATGAAAATATGGTAAGTGATAGTCTAGGGCTTGGTACATCAGCACGAGCGAACGTGCGACTATGGCGCCCGACTAGGGTTCGACGCGAGAAAATTGAAGATTCAGCTCGAACAAAAGATTTCGAACATATAAACCGAATAATCTAACATATATACAAGATAATCAAGCTTTTAAACATAAAATTTCACATAACCATGCAATAATAACACTTAATCAAACAACTCGGAAACTGAAAAACTACCGGCTTCACTTTATAGTCGAGCAAGTGAAACCGTTCTGATTTGTTAACTGATCGGGGCGTTACAACCTATCCTCCTTAAAATATTTCCGTCCTCGGAAATACAAAACTAGGGTACTAGGTCAGAACTCCTACTACGAACTATATACAAAAGCATAAGATAAAAGTACACAAGGTACAACTGATACAACTCAAAACTCAAAATCAGGATATCGAGCTCTGATCTCGGCCTCTCTCTCCCAAGTGGCTTCCGACTCGTCATGGCGACTCCAACAAACTTTGACGAGCTCTATATCTCTGTTTCTCAGCCGTCGAACCTTTTGGTCCAGAACTGCTACCGGCCGCTCATCATACGTCAGGTTTTGCCCGACCTCTAGCTCGTCAAAGTTCACTACATGGCTCGGGTCGTACACATACTTTCTCAACATCGACACATGGAAAACATTGTGTACACCCGAGAGTTTTGGGGGTAACGCCAGACGGTAGGCTGTTACGCCAACTCGTTCGAGAATATCGAATGGCCCTATGAATCGGGGCTGCAGCTTCCCCCTCTTCCCAAAGCGCACAACGCCTTTCATTGGCGTGACCTTCAGAAACACTTTGTCTCCCTGCTCAAACTCAAGCTCCCTTCTACGCTTTTTAGCGTAGGCCTTATGTCGGCTTTGGGCCTCTCTCAGCTTCGCTCGGATCTCGGCTACCTTCCGCACCGTGTCCTCGATCAATTTGGGACCGAGAACCTGTTTCTCGCCAACTTCATCCCAGTAAAGGGGTGAGCGGCACTTACGACCGTACAAAGCTTCAAATGGTGCCATCTTGATCGACGAGTGATAGCTGTTATTGTAGGCAAACTCCACATTGGGTAACAACTCCTCCCACGAACCACCCCGCTCTAGAACACAAGCTCGAAGCATGTCCTCAAGCATCTGAATGGTTCGTTCCGACTGACCGTCGGTTTGCGGATGGTAAGCGGAGATAAACTTCAACTTCGTCCCCATGGACTCGTTAAGACTCTTCCAAAAATGGCCAGTAAATCGAGGATCTCTATCTGATATAATCTCGGCAGGAACTCCGTGAAGTCGAACGATTCCCTGGAGATACGTCTCGGCTAGCTGCTCCATGGACATGTCCATCCTGACAGGCATAAAGTGGGCCGACTTCATCAGTCGATCCACTACTACCCATACCGCGTTGTGTCGCTTGGCCGACACCGGTAATCCCGTGACAAAATCCATGGTCAACTTCTCCCACTTCCACTGCGGGATCTCTAAAGGCTGTAAGAGACCCGGTGGAACCTTGTGCTCCGCTTTCACCTGCTGGCAAATCAAGCACTTCTCAACAAACTCGGCGACGTCTCGCTTCATTCCCTTCCACCAAAATGACCCTTTCAAGTCGTGATACATTTTGGTGCTACCGGGGTGTGCCAAGTATGGTGCACTATGCGCCTCCGTCAAGATCTCTTTCTTCAGGGCCTCGACATTCGGCACAACGATCCTTCTTTTGTACTCCAGGGCACCATTTGTGCCTCGATAAAAGCCCTCTACTCCTCCGGCATTAATCTTCGCCCCCATCGAGCGAACGAACTCGTCGAAGGCTTGATCCCTCCGTATCCTATCTCGTAGCGTGGGCCACATTCTCATCGCTCGAATACCTCCCACAACTGGTAACTTAGGAGGTGATTCGACCACTTGTAGCTGCATCTGAGCAAACTCATGAATCAACTGACGCTGTTGAGTGATCATACAAGTCAGTTCACCCTTTCCCTTCTGGCTGAGGGCATCGGCAACTACGTTCACCTTACCAGGATGATAGTTAATGGTGCAGTCATAATCCTTCACTAGCTCCAACCATCGCCGTTGGCGCATGTTGAGCTCCTTCTGCGTGAAGATATACTGTAGGCTCTTGTGGTCTGTGTAAATCTCGCAGTGGCCTCCGTACAGATAATGCCTCCAAATCTTCAGAGCGTGAACCACTGCAACCAACTCAAGATCGTGAGTCGGGTAGTTCATCTCGTGCGGCTTTAGCTGACGGGAAGCATAAGCCACAACCCTGCCGTCTTGCATCAAAACACAGCCTAAACCCTGCTTCGAAGCATCACTATAGATAGTGAAACCCTGTGTGGGGTCTGGAATAGTCAACACGGGTGCCGTCGTAAGCCTCGCTTTGAGTTCTTGGAAGCTCGACTCACAACGACTATCCCACTCAAACTTTACTGATTTCCTCGTCAAACGGGACAAGGGTAGGGCAATCTTCGAAAACCCCTCAATGAAACGTCTATAATATCCTGCCAAACCGAGAAAACTCTGAACTTCGGTGACATTTCTTGGTTTTGACCAGTTTCGAACTGCTTCAATCTTACTTGGGTCTACCTCAATTCCTCTGGATGTGACGATGTGGCCTAGGAAAGCCACTCGATCGAGCCAGAATTCGCACTTCGAGAACTTGGCGTATAACTTCTCACGCTGAAGAGTCTCCAAAACGATTCTCAAGTGCTCCTCATGCTGCTCCGGGCTACTGGAATAGACCAAAATATCGTCAATGAAGACGATGACAAACTGGTCCAGGAATGGATGGAAGACACGGTTCATAAGATCCATGAATACCGCTGGCGCATTGCTCAAACCAAACGGCATCACAACAAACTCATAATGACCGTATCTGGTTCGGAAAGCGGTCTTGGCCACGTCGGCCTCTCTGATTTTTAGCTGATGGTAACCAGAGCGGAGATCGATTTTGGAAAATACACTGGCTCCCCACAGCTGATCGAATAAATCCTCAATTCTGGGAAGTGGATACTTGTTCTTCACCGTCAACCGGTTTAGATCCTGGTAGTCGATGCACATACGCATAGACCCATCCTTCTTCTTAACAAAGAGGACAGGCGCTCCCCAAGGTGATACACTCGGTCGGATGAAACCGAGACTCAACAGCTCCTGAATCTGAGCCTTCAACTCCTGAAGCTCTTTCGGCGCCATGCGATACGTCGCTTTCAACACGGGTCCCGCTCCGAGGACTAAGTCGATTGTGAACACCACCTGGCGGTTAGGTGGTCCTCCTGGAAGCTGATCGGGAAAAACATCCACAAACTCACGAACAATGGGTATATCTCCGGGAAACAGCTTCCCCGAAGATTCCCCAACAATGTTGACAAGAAATCCCTGACAATCCTCTCTCTGCATGTACTTCGTTGCTTTTGCAATAGAAATAACGCGCGGTAGGGTTCGAGACTTCGTCCCGAAGAACGTGATGTGGTCTCCCTCGGATAAATGTAGCGTCACCTCCCGATCACGACAACGGATGTCTGCTTGGTATCTCGCCAACCAATCCATGCCAAGAATTAAATCAAAGTCATTCATATCAATCACAAACGCGTCTACGACAAGAGCTCACTGTAATACCCCGTTTTATTGTGGATTATTTCGGAATAAATATTGATTATTTCTATTATTGATTATTATTATTATTGTTATTATTATTATTATTATTATTATTATTATTGCTATTAACTGTCAAATTGCTATTATTTATTTGTTATTAGTAATATTGCTATTATTAATATTAATTGTCTAAATATTATTAATTGTCAAATTGTAACTATTTGTCTAAATGCATATTTTTAGTATTAATATTATTATTTTAAAAATATTGTGTGTATTATAAATATAGATATTCCGTACTGATTTATTATTCGTCGTCAAGAGAATTGTTCGATGTTAGTCCTCGGATATGAATCTCGTCTCAATTGGAATTTTATTCCAATACCTTTTGCTATGTTATATAAATGGACCCAATGTCTAATATTGTATGTAGCCCAAATTGGTAAGTGGCCCATTGGCATTAAATCTTTTTTTTGGCCCATAAGATCGATCTGCAGCGCCCAGACCGAACCTTCTTCAACCTCTTCTCCCAGTGACCGAGTCTCCTTCATCCTCAAAAGTAAAATTTTGTTCCGATACTTTGGTGAAATCCCTTGCACGTTCTCCCCTTTTCCCTCGCCGACCTCCTTCTCACCTATTATATCTCGGTCATCTCATATCTCTCGATTGAGC